TCTCTTGAAATTTCTATGTCCTTTTCTGTGGTTATATCATTTATTTTATTTTGAACCTTGTAAATTACATATTTGCTTTGAGGTTCTAAACTTAACTAGTGATATTATTATGAGAAACTCCAAAACAGTCTTTTAAAGAAATCCTTACAAGTGTAGTTCAATCTCTCAAAAAAGACCCCAAATTCTATGAAAATGTTACTATTTTATTGGTTATTGGCACACTGCACAAACTCAAAGACTAAGCCAAACTTTCATTTTAATACTATTTTATAATAGTCAAAAATAAGGCAACCGTGTTTCCAGGGTTCTCTCCTACCCGCCCTACGGAGCGAGGTTGAGAATAAGGTTTTAAAAAAGCTTCGCATCACTTCGTTGTTGCAGTATGTGTATTTTGTTTTGCTAGATGGTGTATCAAACCTTCCAGGGGAGGTTGAGGACCAGGAAACAGTTGATGAAGAAGGTAAATTGGAGTTGTGACATGAAATAGTTACATTATTTTTAAGGTGTGCAAAAGGATTAATATTTATTACCAGGGCTTCTTAAATTTTCATAAGATCTTTTAAATACCTATAATAATAATTGTAGTTGGCATATAAATTATGTGTGTGGGTAAGTGGAGTATATTGTGTGCATAGGCAATCTGACAGGGCCCAGTTGTTCGAAGGCCGATTAGCCCTTAACCCGGGGTTAAATTTAACCCGGGGTTAAATTTAACGCAGGTTTCATTTTCTGGTGTTCTAAAGCATTTTCTTAGATAATTTTCTCTGTTATTTTTAGAGCTTCCAATCGTCAACTTGTACACAAAAAGAATTAAAACTGAAATACTTTTGAAGCTTTTGAAGCTTTCAAATCTGAATTCAAATCTCGCACTAACCCTAGGTTATCTTTACCCAGCTTTGAACAACTCGGCCCAGGTGTTTAAGTGTCTAGCCTAAGACAAAGAATATGGGGAAGAGGAGTACCTGTGTGATGACTTCAGTATGAACACTTCCGATTAAACTTACGTGACAGATTGTATTTTGACATGACTATAATCTTCCAAATAGAGATAAGTGTGATGCAACGTTACCTTGGTAGCAAAATTTCTGGATCATAACAGTAGGGAGTTTTTGCAACGATGAACAGCAAAAAAACAATAGGATTAGATTGGCAAAAAAAAAAAAACAAATTAGCAAATGAGTCATGTTTTTAATTTGTATCATTCTTATCTGAATTTGTATCTTAAAATTTTGCTAAAATTTTACAATATAAA